GGGAATTTGACGTGAAGTGTTGATGAGACAAGAAGCAGCGGCCAGCACTAGATCCTCACAGAGAACAATTTTAGTAAAGTATCATAAACAACTGAGGGTATCATAATTACAAGCACCAGACAATCGTTAATACACTAATGAACTCAAACGGTACAGTGAATGGATGCTCCAGATACCAATGGTAATACGCTGACAGCTTATGGGTCTCGAATACCTCATAGTAAAAGAGAATTGTGAAAAGCGACGAAGTGAATTCAAGACTGCATTGAATTCAAAAAGAAATATGCAATTGTCAAACTTTTGGGAAACATCACTGTCTTCTGAGAACTATGAGGAGCTAGAGATTTGCAAGAGCAACTCTTGACTTGTGCGATCGGCCTTGATTCTGAAACTACCGATTTTGCTCTAATAAATTGGTGTTTTTTAGGCAGTGAGAATCGCTTCTAAAGAAGGAAACGAAATGAGAACTTGTGAGGGACGTTTGGAGTTCAAAGATGTTCATTTCAAGTACCCAACAAGGTAAAGAAGAGAAATACCTCTGCTGGAAGGATTATTGAAATGGAATGTGCTTATTTCAGAGAGACCCCTATACTGCAAGGCCTCAGCTGGGAAGCGGAACCAGGAGAGACCATCGCGTTCGTGGGAAAAAGTGGATGCGGAAAAAGCACTAGTGTTCGTTTGCGACTCAGTTGTTTCCGTATATCAATTTTTGAAACCAGTCTCCACTGTCGTGACCACTGTTATTCACTCATGACTGGCACAAGTTAGCGGATTTTCTAGCACACGCTTGACCCTGAAATCGCAAGCGGAAATTTGATTGCGTGCATTCGATTCTGCTGTTGGGCTGGAGCGCACTTTCCTGAAAACGTAATTGTGAACGCAGTCATCTCTTTCGCGACCATAACTTCTTCGTAGAAGAGCATTTGCAAAAAACACTCTATGATGCAAATTCGCCCTTCTTAAGGTAAGCTAGACTTCTAAAGATGCAAAGGACACACTTGAAAGAAGAGCGGCTCTTTTTTCTGCAGACCCACACTTCAAATTTCTCCTTGTTCAACCGTTGTGGAAAAAAAGCCGAATCACTCACTAGTTCCAGTTCCAGCACTACCACATTAGTAGTTGGTTCACAGACCAGACCAGACACACCCGAATGTGCTTCCAAAATATGGCCTGCTCCGCGTGCTCCGAGAATCTCTCACACTGGATCGTCGCGGAAAATCTTCCGTGAGTGTTCATCTTGTGAGACCTCTAGCTCACATGTGTCGAGTTTCAATGTCAGATACCAGCTAATCTGCCACCCACTACGTAGTCAAGACTTTGCTCTCATTGCCAGTGCTTGAATCCTTTTACCGAATTGAAGCGGCAGCTTCGTGGGAAAGGAGAGCCAGCTGCAACCGATAGTGCACGAGTATTCTGGAACGCGTGATAACAATCATTTGCTGAAGAACCGTTTCAGAGGATCTGAGAAAATATGATGAAAAAATAATAGTGGGTGAAGTTGGTGGGTGCTGTGGGTAAACATAATTGTGCTCAAGTTTCATGTGCAGTTGCGATAGAGTATGTTGGTGGAAGTTGCACATGAAGTCTTGTTCGCTGCGGATGAAGGAGCGTGTCAGGCGCATGCCAACCCCGCTTTCCACCAGCTGTTGAAGCGAGCAAGCGACAAAACTGCCATATCATAGCATCATGTCGCTCGTATCAGTCGTTTTCCAAGAGTTGTTGCTTACCCTCTTCAACAACGGATAGAAAGCGGGGTTTGTAGCGGCAGCAAATCCTGCAAGGCACTAGTCGTGCAAAGGCACGTGACACTGTCATCCAAGGCGAAGCAGGCTATAGGCACTCCATCAGTGCACTTGCTAGGAAGACCTCTAAAATAAAATCCGCCTCTTTTTGTGTTCAGAAAAATAGGAGAGTGGGATCTGTTGATTAATTTCTGTGCACTTTGCACTTTTATTAGGCACATAGAAGAAACTTAGGGAGTGAAACTTGGCAATATTTGCCCCTCCACTACAAATTTTACTTTTTTTCTTACCTTATATTAGGTTGTCCGGAAAGTTCTTAGCGTTTTGAGTGTTTCAACTTAAATCGATCATAACTTTCTTTCACACTCATGACGATTCCAATCCAAATACCGACACGCATTTCGAATCAGCACACTTTTGCCAATGTGGCAGCAGTCGAGAAATCCCATCAAAGAAAAAACTGGGTGGTCGAGAATCCACGAAATCTGCGAAGGTCTTTTTTGCCTGGTCTTAATTGATGAAGTATTTTTCAGCAAGGAAGTTCTGAAAATGTCTGAAAAGGTGACAGTCGGTTGGTGAAAGGTCTGAAGAATATGGCGGTTGAGGTAGAACTTCAACCCCCAATTCGTTCAATTTATGGATAGTGATTTGTGAAACGTGTGGGCGGGCGTTGTCATGCAAAGGACCCTTTCTTTTGATAAGTGTTGGCTGCAGCTGACAATATTTTCGGTACATTTGGTCGGTTTGTTCACAGTAGGGTTCTGCTGTGATGGTTTGGCCTGGTGATGAAAAGTTATAGTGGATTACAACAGCCGATGACCACCAAACCTGACCAGAATTTTTTTTTCGCGAGGGTTCGGCTTTGAAAATTACCGTGGTCCTCCAAATCCAACCACTGTCCGGAACGTCTCCTGTTATCATACATGATCCATTTTTCATCACAGGTGACAAATCCGTTCAAAAACGGGTCAATTCTTTTGCGCAAAAGCAGTGAAGAAGGAACCTCGAGACGTGCCGATTCCTGCCGGTCACTCCGATTGTGGGGCACCCAATTGTCGAGTTTTTTCACCTTCCCAATGCGTTTTCGCAGACGCATCTGCAACAAGTTTTTATTTGCCAAGGCCTAAGCTCTTTGTGCTATCTCTCGAACTGTGTTTGGATTAATCAAAATCCCCTAAAATCCTCGTCAGATATTGCTTTAGGTCGACCGCTATGAGGCTCACCTTCAAGGCTGAAATCTCCAGAGCGAAATTTATTGAGCCATTGCCGCACAGTGCTTTCTTTAGCACTGATTCGGGCCGCCCCACACCTGGTTAATGTTGAGCTGTTTCGATTGCGGATTGCCCCAATTTATAGTCGAAGAAAAAAATCGTCCGAAGTGCTCTTTTCACATGCTTGAAAAAATCTTGAAAAAAGAGGGTTTATCAAGCAATGGTGAAACGGCAATTATACCATCAGCGCAAGAAATTCTCTACAGGATGTGCTACTGAGAAAGCAAGGCAGAAATGAGTTTT